TTGATATCAATCCTTATGTCGATAATTTTTTTAAAAAATATTTTTTTAGTCGATTCAGTTGCTTTGATTTTGGTGAATTTTTTGTTGAATTCTTTTAAAAAACCAAATCGTCACAACTTGACAAATATATTTAATAACAAATCACTTATCTGAGTAAATATTAAAAAAATATATTTTGTCTTCATTAGTTTGCGTTTGAAAATTGAAGCTTATCTTGTCGGCGGTTTGAGGAAAATTGCGGCCAGGATTTCGCAGGATGGGAAGTGGGTTGAACCAGTTGGGCAGTAACTTACAAAGAGCTTTGCGTGCAGCCGATCACCTCTGGATATTTGTGATGCTTATGAACATTTTTATTCAACAGAAACCCCTCAATGTAGATCTATGCCTTTAGCTAAACGTAGAAAAGTTGTAAATGAGGAAAGTGTAGCAAAAGATGCACCAGGAAATCGGTAAGTTTTAAACATTTGTTCGACTCGAGTAGAACAAATTTTGTGAAGGTAACCGCCATCTTTGTCAAATCATAATGTTTTTCCTGCTTGCAATTTAGTAAAACAAGAGGTGTTTGTTGTACTTTTACGGGTTTTAAACATTCTCTGCCGTATGCCCCAGTGAAATTCTGCGTATGAAAATCGACTGTCGTCTCAAAATACGTTTATTTACAAACGTAAACAAACCCATTCACACACAATCTAAAAATGGAGCCGCCATGTTGAATTTATTCGATCCATAATTTCATGTTTTTATTGACACTAAAGATTACTGTACTGTTATCCTGTTGCATGTTGAATGGCACAATTGAATTAGGAATATGATTTCGTCTTTCAGGGTGCCTGGCAGTATAGAGAATGAGGAAAAAGAACAAGGTGCAACTGACGATGCCAAGACAGTGGCACCCTCGGCTACTTCATCGAGTTCGATTTGTATGACAGTTGAACGGCGTAGTCGACACATCAGCCGTTCTGAGAGTGAAGACCAAAGTATCGTAGTGACCGAGGGGGATAAAAAGATACCCACCCCTTCGACACCCACAGCAGCAGTACCACTGAGAACAAGTTCAAGAGTTATTCGAAAAACAAGGAAGGATTATAGCCCCCCTGAATCCCCAGTTAAAAAGCAGAGTGTGGCAACAGGTAGGCTATATTTTAGGCAAGAAACACCACAAAATGACAATGTTGATTATATGTAGAACTAGAACGGATGTCATATTGTTGGAATTATTGGCTAAATGTGTGATAATTCCATGCAGTTCACAGTACTTCGCATTGATCCTGTCTTGACGTCTTAACATGAAAATTTCTTGGAAAATAAAAATAGATTTGTTTTTTATGCTTTGGACTAGTCAGTTAGAAAAAATGCTCAAGAAGACAGAATTATGCTTGGTAATTTGGTGTCAATTGGTTATACAATTTCACTTGAGTTACCGGTATGTGTTTCATGATTATTTTTTCTTTGATTTCAGCCAAGGAGCCTAAAGCTACTACACCTTCAACTAAAACTAAGAGAGCATGGGAACTGTGGAGCATTGAAGATAAAAATGTTTTCTTTGAGGCACTGTTTGAGGTATACTAACAATAGATATCTTATGAATTGGAAAAAAAATTGTGACTTCTTTCAAATGAAGTCATGATAGACATGCTCATAATTCAGTGGTGGCACCAGACTTCCTTGGACTAGGAGTACAAATAGGGGGGCAGACTGACCTAATGGTGGGACAACTGTTGAGGCTGAATTGAAAATAACATTAATTTGGTGCATTGTGACTCATTTTCGGGGGGCAAAAAATGTATAAAAAGTAATATTTTGGAAATGAAGTGGGGGTATAAAGCCCTACTTGGTAAAATGTGAAATTCATGGATTGTATTTTCAGTATGGTAAAGATTTTGATGCTATCCAGAATATGTTAGTACAGAGAGGTAAAAGAAGAGGTTTACCACCAGAACTGTTAAAGAGGAAAGATCAAGTTCGCTTTTTGTATTATCGTACATGGCATAAAATTACTAAATTTGTTACAATTACTAAAGGTAACTCTTAACTTAACTGTTATTTAGTTTTTGAAATTTAGGATATTTAAAGATGGTTTTCCTTATTTTTTAGTGTCAAATTAAGCAAACTATTGGATTTATTGGTGTTTCTAATGAATTATCATGTATTCTTAATCATATATATACAGTCTGGATAAACAAAAAAAAAAGACGTTTTGACCTTTCTTGATCGGTCACTCATTGGAATTCTGCTTGTAATTCTCTTCTAATTTAGCTGATTATGAATTTATTATGGACATGTAAGACAAACTGGTATTTTTCCAAGTCATTAGAACACCTCTACTTTCTATTCATATAAGTATAAGCATTTTCATTTTCATAAATGAAAATAAGGGAACCCATCTTTAATTGGACTTTTTAGGATTATCAAACACAAATTGCTTCTTGGAAAACACGGTATGCTGATTTTGCAGAAACACCTGCTGTCACTTTCTTATTTGTTAGTCATATTTTGGTGGTTTTTACATGATTTTAAAGACCCGTATTTTTTATAGATATAAGAAAAGAAGCTCAAGAAATTTATGGTTTGATAAATTACGGTGTCTTTCGTAAATCTATTAAAGGTAACAGCTTTTGGCAAAAGCTCCATTCAATAAAAGCTACCACACGTCAGGATCAGTCCATCTTGTGATGCTACAGCATAATATACATTACCTGCTCTGTGTAGGAATTGCATTTGTAAACTTACATTGCAAAAAGATATAACTATAGTATTGTCATAAATAGAAATTTAGTAAATATTTTTATTAACCTTTTTTGTACATTGATATCTTTTAATATTTCAATTATTTCTTGGTACAATACAGTACCCATACAAATATTCCGGACGTGGTATAATTAAGCCATTACCTGGCAAAGTATTCCCGTCTCACGTTTCACGCATGCGTTTAATAATTCCATTTGCCAATATAAGGAATTTTTTATACAATCTGTTACACAACGGAGGAAGTGTGCTTTTTACCCGAAACGTTTTGTGGTATTAAAATCTTCTTATAATCAACATCTCTGCTTTAGTCAGTTATTAGGGGAATATTTTACTTTTTACGGATTCCTCTATGCATCATTGAGATCCTGACTGGCCTGATCTTCTACAGAATTCTAACGCCTGCTATACAACCCAGACAATCTGTTTTCCTGTCGTCCCTCTATACAAAAATAAATTTAGATGGTTTTCATTATTTTTTCTATTATACAGGTCTAAATGAGAGAACAGCTGTCAAGTTAAATGATTTGATCAATAAAGGGTAAGGCTTCTATTGTTATCACCCATCTTAGATATTGGTATCAAATGCCAATTGAAATTTAAAGAAGTATGCTTGATACATTCCAAGAAATTTCACAACCCTGCTAACTGCAGAAAAATTCTCAGAATTTACATCACTGGCATTACGGGTATGTGTATTTTAACATTTTAGGTATACAACATATAAAGTTAAAGGCAAGAAGAAAAAGTAAGTGTAAAATCTAATTCAGTTGATAACCAGATGTCGCTGTCAATAATAGCACTGGTGTCATGTATCTCATTATATATAGCATTGGTGTCACTTGAATCACATGGATATAACTTGATCACATGAATATAACTTGATAACATGGATATAACTTGATAACATGGATATAACTTGATCACATGGATATAACTTGATCACATGAATATAACTTGATCACATGGATATAACTTGATCAACTTAATCACATGAATATAACTTGATCACAAAGATATAACTTGATCACAAGGATATAACTTGATCACATGGATATAACTTGATCACATGGATATAACTCGATCAACTTAATCACATGGATATAACTTGATCACAAAGATATAACTTGATCACAAGGAAATAATTTGATCACATGGATATAACTTGATCACATGGATATAACTTGATCACAAAGATATAACTTGATCACATGGATATAACTTGATCAACTTAATCACATGAATATAACTGGATCACAAAGATATAACTTGATCACATGGATAAAACTTGATCAACTTGATCGCATGGATATAACTTGATCACATGGATATAACTTGATCACATGGATATAATTTGATCACATGGATATAACTTGATCAACTTGATCACATGGATATAACTTGATCACATGGATATAACTTGATCACATGGATATAACTTGTATCACATGGATATAATTTGATCTCATGGAGATAGTCATTTTGATCTTTCTGTGTATTTTAGAATAAAAACACCAGTTTGTAGTGCTCTGAAGAAAATTAATGGACTTGTTGGTGAGAATATTTTTCATGTTAGAAACTCTTTAACTGTAACTTTTAAGCACCTTTCTCCAAGATACTGGATAATACTCTGACAGATGTTCCATAAGGTAAATTCGAAGGAAGCTTAAAAACCCAGAGTAGTTTGAAATAAAAAAGGGTAGGCAAATGGGACTCAAAATTTTCCCCATTGCACACTTTTATTGATCTATATTTGGATATGATTTATGAAATGTTGTCCCCACCCAAAAGATGAGCTATTTGTGTTCCTTTTTTCAGATAATAAAGATAGTCAGACTCATCAGCTACCAGAAAGAATAAATGTGGAGATTTGTCCACGAAATAATAAATCCTGGTCCAGAGTTCAGGCCATGTCCCACAATCCTAGAGTCAAGATGTCTTTAATGTCCGACAGAACTTTAGGCGCCATATTGGAATATCTGAACAAGAAATGGAAATCTCATCGTGAACGCTCAGTATCCTTTTGTACTAATTATTGAATTGCATTTCCTGTTTCGCAAAAGATGGCAGCTTAGGAGGTGGGTCAGTGAAGTCCTCGCTCCCTTGTTTTTATTAGCCATTTTGCTAGTGACAAAATTTTCAAATTGAAGAATATGGACTCTTGATTGACTGCAGGTTTAGCATGTAAAATTTTAAAGGGACAAGTTCACCATTGTTGGACCAATGGTACCTTAGTTTCAGAAAAAGTTATAGTATTCACTGCTCAGTGCTTACCGTCAAAATTTCAGCCTTCAGATCCATGTATGTCCAGAATTATTCATGTTTGAAAGTTATAAAGACGGCTTGTCTTTTCTTCAGACTCGGCCATATTGTATAGAAAAGAAACAGATAGAATAGAAAGTGAAATTCCCAGTTTGAGGTATTTTGAAGAAATTATGCCTTTTTCCTGTATTTCTAGTACGTTAGAAGACTATTTACATTATATTCAAGACTCAAATCAATAATGTCCTTAACAATATTCTCTAGCTATCTAATTTAGATATTAATGAATGTAATCAAGATATATTGACTATCTTTCCTAGTAAAAACTGTAAACTAAATCAACTCATAACTATGTTACCACAAACGGTACCCAAGTTAGATTTAACTCTCTCCAATTATAAAGAACACTTCCAGTTCAGTAAGTACATAGACTTTACCTATTTGGTTACTGATTTTTACTCTCTGGATATCATTAGCTACTTTTTGCCAATATCCAGTCAGTTGTTGACGATAAATTTTTTATATGCTCACATGGAATTGTAGACATATATTGCAGTTGCCCCTGTCGGTCCACCTATCGGTCGTCATTTCTTGTTTCAAACCATAATAGACTATTTTTGTCTTTGTTTTGAATTTTCCCAGTTTGTGGCTCAAGTATTATATCTGTGGTAACTGGAACTGGAGTTTCATAGCAGGAGTTGAAACTGAAAGCAAGGAGACTGGTTGTGATTTGCTTGAAGGGATTTTTATTCCTGTGGGAACCTTGATTTTTTTCCCAAATGTTAACAGTGACATTTATTGCTCTATATTTTATGATATTCCATTGTTTTTTCTAGATTCGCCATCTACTAATAAAGGTAAAACTTCAACAGCAACAGTGACTGCAACTCAGACAGCAACAACAGCTCAACCTACAGCAACAGCTCAACCTGTAGCAACAACAGCATCTTCTATCATACCAGCAGAGGAACAAAATAAACCCAATATAGACCTATCTAGCGAATCTGAGTCACCTAAAGTGAACAAAATAAGTGTCAAACTTTCAGGAGAGGAAGGACCATCTTTTATTTCAGAGAGTAGCCCTTTTCTGGGGGATGAAAATGCTGTATTTCCAGATGACCTGTTCTCAAATCACGAACACAAACCGGACACATCTTCTGTGCCTAGTGACACTAAACCTTCCACAAAGGATTCCGCGAGTGAGAGCCCAAAACAAACTGTAACCACACCACCAAAGAAAGCTAACTGTGATGAAACTGAGGATTCAATGCAGGAGAAACTCCAAAAACTTTACGAATCTTCAAAACAAGGGTGGAGTTCGGAGACAGGAAAAACTGTGACCCTTGCCCAATTAATGTTGATGTGTGGAAAAGATAAAAAGTTAATTTTGGAATATGATTGGTGTCCCAAAACAGTTTCCAATGATAATTTAACACATAAACTGGCCAATATGCTACGGAGATTGGCACATCTGGCAGCTACAGAATTCTCAGACTTTTCTGGTTCCAAATCTAAATCAGTAAGTCTTATTCAAATTACTTTACGGATTTAGTATTAATATCATTGTGTGATTTAGTATGCTTACTCTTCTAGACACCTGATACCACTTTTCATAATGAAATACTTCCTCACTTATGATTGATATATTTCCTCTTGTGAAAAGTTCATTAGCTGCTACTACTATTGTTTCGCCAATATGTTGTTTGGATTTCAGGTTTTTTTTTTGTTTTGTTCTGATTGTATATTTTCATCAGTGGACTTACCTGGTGTCATAAGAGTTTATTTTTATCTGTGGACTTACCTGGTGTCATAACTAAGAGTTTATTTTCATCAGTGGACTTACCTGGTGTCATAAGAGTTTATTTTTATCAGTGGACTTACCTGGTGTCATAACTAAGAGTTTATTTTCATCAGTGGACTTACCTGGTGTCATAACTAAGAGTTTATTTACATCAGTGGACTTACTTAGTGTCATAAATAAGAGTTTATTTTCATCAGTGGACTTACCTGGTGTCATAAGAGTTTATTTTCATCAGTGGACTTACCTGGTGTCATAAGAGTTTATTTTTATCAGTAGACTTACCTGGTGTCATAACTAAGAGTTAATTTTCATCACTGGACTTACCTGGTGTCATAACTAAGAGTTTATTTTCATCACTGGACTTACCTGGTGTCATAACTAAGAGTTTATTTTCATCAGTGGACTTACCTGGTGTTATAAGAGTTTATTTTTATCAGTGGACTTACCTGGTGTCATAACTAAGAGTTAATTTTCATCACTGGACTTACCTGGTGTCATAAATAAGAGTTTATTTTCATCAGTCGACTTGCCTTGTGTCATAAGAGTTTATTTTCATCAGTGAACTTAACTGGTGTCATAAGAGTTTATTTTCATCAGTGGACTTACCTGGTGTCATAAATAAGAGTTTATTTTCATCACTCGACTTACCTGGTGTCATAAGAGTTTATTTTCATCAGTGGACTTACCTGGTGTCATAAATAAGAGTTTATTTTTACCAGTGGACTTACCTGGTGTCATAAGAGTTTATTTTCATCAGTGGACTTACCTGGTGTCATAACTAAGAGTTTATTTACATCAGTGGACTTACCTAGTGTCATAAATAAGAGTTTATTTTCATCAGTGGACTTACCTGGTGTCATAAGAGTTAATTTTTATCACTGGACTTACCTGGTGTCATAACTAAGAGTTTATTTTCATCACTGGACTTACCTGGTGTCATAAATAAGAGTTTATTTTCATCAGTGGACTTACCTGGTGTCATAAGAGTTTATTTTTATCAGTGGACTTACCTGGTGTCATAACTAAGAGTTAATTTTCATCACTGGACTTACCTGGTGTCATAACTAAGAGTTTATTTTCATCACTGGACTTACCTGGTGTCATAAATAAGAGTTTATTTTCATTAGTGGACTTACCTGGTGTCATAAGAGTTTATTTTCATCAGTGGACTTACCTAGTGTCATAAATAAGAGTTTATTTTCATCAGTGGACTTACCTGGTGTCATAAGAGTTTATTTTTACCAGTGGACTTACCTGGTGTCATAACTAAGAGTTTATTTTCATCACTGGACTTACCTGGTGTCATAAATAAGAGTTTATTTTCATTAGTGGACTTACCTGGTGTCATAAGAGTTTATTTTCATCAGTGGACTTACCTAGTGTCATAAATAAGAGTTTATTTTCATCACTGGACTTACCTGGTGTCATAAATAAGAGTTTATTGACCAAGTTCAAGAATTTAATTTTTATGACAATTCTAATAGGTTGTATAAGATAAAATTTTAAAAATATGATTATCAACTTGTGTTTCAGGGTACATCTAAAACAACAGCCTGCTCTATGTGCGGTACCATTGCGTCCAGAAGTAAAGTACAAACAGCTAATAAGGGTACTAATACTAGTCGTATGAACAGACCTGTGAAAACTACTGATAATCATACTAATGATACTAGTGAAGTAGCTAGTACTATTATGGGTCATGATATATCAGTTGTACAATGTTCTAATCCAGTAATAGCAAACCAGGTATGTATCTCTATACAGGGGCTGAGGAAAGGGAGCGAGGGGGTGGGGCGGAATTGAGGGCACTCTGAGGCAAGGCCAGAAGGTCTGAATCCCCTCGAGTTCTGGGTGCTGCCAGAAGAGAAGTTAATTTTCACTTCAAAATTGACCTTTGACAGCCGTATGGCGTAGGGGACATGGTCCAATGGCTCATCCCTAAATACGCCATTTTCTCTACAGCATATAGCTGGCTTGAATAGTTCTTTGCATAGTATTTTAATCACCTAATAAAGAGGACCAAAATGTATGTCTGGAAACCTCCCCGAAAAAATCTTCTGAAGAAAAGCCTTTTCCCATGCCTACTGTAAAAAATTACATATGTGACCGCGCACATCAAACCAAGTAGCATTTGGTGTATGTATAGCTATTAGTATATTTGGATTCCTTGCATCATCAGCTACATTTTGATACCAATTCCATCTCAATAGCTTTCTCCGTTATAGAAGATATAGTGAATTTAATATCCAGATTTGAGTCCCCTTTAATACTTCACTGCCAGTTTATTACTTGGCAGTTAATGGTGCAGAAAAGTAGGAAGTAAAACTCCATTCATTTCATTTTCATTTCATTTACTTGGCAGTGCATCTTAATACCTGAAACGATGTGCAGGGTCACATATTGTAAAATTTGTCATAACCATGCTACTTGAAGATTTTTGTTGTCACAAGACTGTGATATTTCAGAGAATTATTAAATATTTTAGAATGTACACGATACAATATCACCATACTTCATTCCTTTGAAAGATTTGACTATTAAAATGACAATATATATTACAGATGCCTTTATCGCCTCAGAATGGTGTATTTAGAGTTCCAATGGCAGTACCCTTACGTCATAATCAACCACCATCACACGTGTCTCAAGCTACAGTCAGTCAGTTAATACGTCCTCCAGAACCTAAGGTCAGTTATTTTATTTTTTTGTATTATTTTGTATTTTTAGTAGAGCCACTTCACAGTAGAGATTAACGATCGAAGTCTTGAACACTCATCAAATTCATCTTTTGACCTAACCTGCTTTCAGGAATCAAATTTACGCCTTTTTCAGTGTTGGCACTTTGACACAATCAAAAGGTGTATTTTCAGGAGCTTAGACTAGTTTATCAAGTCCACTGAAAGTGAAAATAGAAAACGAGCCTTTTCATTGCACATTCCAAATTGATCCAGTTAAATTTGATTAGTTAAAGCAAAGGTCATCAGGTTAGGTCAAAAGGTTAATTTGACGAATGTTCAATTCTCTGGTAGATAGACCCTAACTGAAGTGGCTATACTAAAAATATAAACTAATAAAAAAACAAAGCGAAAGTTTGATCTAATTTTAGTAAGACTGCTATAGACTAAAACCTTATACTTCTGCCCATTTTAAGATGAAATGTTTCTGTTTTTCAGTCAAATTTTCTTATTCCAAGAAAACGAAAGAAACAGAAGAACAAGTCCATCATTATACAGCGGACATTGTTACCAAAAACTACTAAAGACCAATATAGTATCTTACCAACCATGAATAACAACCAACAGCCACTCATCACCAACACAACCATACCCTTATCACAACCAGGTGGTGTTATAACTCAACCATATTCACCCATCAGTCTTAATTCATCTTTACAACAAGCACAACCTAGTCCACCCATAGTTCCTATTATTGGTAAGTTTGTTTTTCATCATCAACTGATGATTACTGGACTCCTTCTATGTTTGTTTAAATTTGGTTTGTTTTAGGACATTGGATGCCTTAAAGGGACAAGTGCACCTTTTTTTTGGCCTATTTTAGTCTCAGAAATTGAATTTTTTTTTAGCTAAGCCAATCAGTAATGGTTTTTTCAGCTCACTGTCGAAATTTGAACCTTCAAATCCATGTGTGTTCAGAATTATATTATTATGTATATGATATATTTGGTTATTTTGACTTTTTGGTACCGTTCGAAAGCTCGTAAAAGCACGGATCTTGTGATGAAAACCTCTTATTCTTTGCTTGATTGTAAATAACTCAAAAAGCACTAATTAAATAACACGTATATTTAAAACCTCGTAAAATATATTATTATACCAGGGTCAATGTTCCTTTTTCTATGGATGAAAACTCATATACTGTACTATGATTATAGTTTTATTGTCGCTTTTTCAAACTTGATAAAGTGTGGGATGCATACTTATTTAACCAATGGTGACTATTAAACATAAATGCTAGCCATTGGACCAGTGTATTCTAAGACGTAGTATCCGTTTAACAATATACACGTACAAATATTTTTTGCTTTTCCCGAAAAGTAATTTCATATATCGTTATACTAGGTTTCAAGTGATCACCCACGATATAGTCATTAGCGCCTAATCCACTTCAATCCTCAGACCAGATTGCTATAGATTATGATAAATGCTGCATTCTGCACTATATTTCAGGAATTTCAGAAAATCAGTCAACAATATCAGTTCCAGTAACACAACCAGTTAGTATTGGTAAGTTGTTCCTGATATTCCAACATCAATAGAACACAATACGTGATTCAATCGAGGATCATGCTCGTAAAGCATCCAGTGGCTGTGCCAGCCTCCCGAGATTAGGGATACAAATAGGAGCCACATTGTCAATGTCGAATTCAAAATGAGACAGCTCTGTGGAAGCGCATAGGCAAGAACCTTCACCTAAGCATCTCAAAGGGTTTTCCAAAAGAAAATTTTTGTAATAATAGAATATATTTAGTGCGGTCTGATTAGTGTTAGGAATAATTATGGAAAAATCGATTATCGTTGTTATGCCATAATGATAATCGATAGTTTATTTCAAAATTACCTCCGCCTATTCTATTAAAGTGCTCCCGGGACCATAATAAAAACATGTCTTCGGCAGTCAGGTTCCCCAAAATTAACTCTGGTCTGGTCAATGTGAAAAACCTTTATTTCAGATACAGGACAAACATTTATCACTCAACCTACTTCAGAAAGTTTATCAGTTAATATTCAATATGATGAAAATCTTCAACAGGTATGTTCAAATAGCCTTTTTCTAGAACAGGTATGTTCAAATAGCCTTTTTCTAGAACAGGTATGTTCAAATAGCTCTTTCTGGTACACGTATGTTCAAATAGCTTTTTTTTTTCTAGAACAGGTATGTTCAAGTAACTTTTTTTTTTTCTAGAACAGGTATGTTCACATAGTTTTTTTTTTCTAGAACAAGTATGTTCATATAGCTTTTTTCTAGAACAGGTATGTTTAAATAGCTATTTTCTTTTCCAGGCATGATTACAAGGTGTATTTAAATGGGTTTTTTTTTTCTAGAACAGGCGTATTCAAATTGGGTCCCTTTTTTCTTGAACAGGCATGATTAAAACGGCTTTTTTCTAGAACAGGCATTTAAAAAAAATCTTAGAACAGGTATGTTCAAAAATGATTTGATGCATACATTCACCTTTAAATTTCAGCAAATTCTGTCAATGGACAATGCAGTGACAACATCAACGGATGGATTAACTCCCCTTCTATCATCACCAAGTAAAGATCAGATAAGGCGTACTATACAGCAGACGTCACCACCTAATTTATCAACATTATTAGATATGTCATTACCTGCCCCATCAGCTGGTATGTATTCACTTGTTATTTGAAATTATGTCAAAGATAGATTAATTGATGTCCTTGCTTGTGGATACTCTGTAGGATGTAAAACTCCATTCATTTCATATCATTTTAGTTTTATTTGAATAGTTTCTATTGTTTATTTCAGGTGATAACAGTACTGCAGAGAAATTATTAGATATAGCTTTAGTTAATTCAAATTCAGGATTCTCAAGTGAGTCTTTGTTAAATTCAATATACTTCTGTTGCAAATTTCATCATCTTCATAAGCTAATTCAGTGACCATCTGTAGCAAATTCAGTCACTATCTTTAGCAATTCAGTCAATATCTTAAGTAAATTCAGTCACTATCTTTAGCAAATTCAGTCACTATTTTCGGCAAATTTAATCACTTTCTTCAGTAAATTCAATCACTATCTTAAGCAAATTCAGTCACCAATTTTGATTAATGCAGTCAATATCTTTAGCAAATTCAGTCACTATCTTAAGTAAATTCAGTCACTATCTTAAGTAAATTCAATGACTATCTTTAGCAAATTCAGTCACTATTTTCGGCAAATTTAATCACTTTCTTCAGTAAATTCAATGACTATCTCAAGCAAATTTAGTCACTATCTTCAGCAAATTTAATCACTATCTTTAGCAAATTCAGTCACTATCTTCAGCAAATTTAATCACTATCTTTAGCAAAGTCAGTCACTGTCTTTGACAAATTCAGTCACTATCTTTAGCAAATTCAGTCACTATTTTCGGCAAATTTAATTGCTCTCTACAGTTAATTAAATGACTATCTTTAGCAAATTCAGTCACTATCTTCAGCAAATTTAATCACTATCTTTAGCAAATTTAATCACTATCTTTAGCAAATTCAGTCACTATCTTCAGCAAATTCAGTCATTATATTCAGCAAATTTAATCACAATCTTTAGCAAATTCAGTCACTATCTTTAGAAAATCCAGTCACTATCTTTAGCAAATTTAATCACAATCTTTAGCAAATTCAGTCAATATTTTTGGCAAATTTAATCACAATCTTTAACAAATTCAGTCACTATCTTCAGCAAATTTAATCACTATCTTTAGCAAATTCAGTCACTATCTTCAGCAAATTTAATCACTATCTTTAGAAAATCCAGTCACTATCTTTAGCAAATTTAATCACAATCTTTAGCAAATTCAGTCAATATTTTTGGCAAATTTAATCACAATCTTTAGCAAATTCAGTCACTTTCTTCAGCAAATTTAATCACTATCTCTAGAAAATCCAGTCACTATCTTTAGCAAATTTAATCACAATCTTTAGCAAATTCAGTCAATATTTTTGGCAAATTTAATCACAATCTTTAGCAAATTCAGTCACTATCTTCAGCAAATTTAATCACTATCTTTAGCAAATTCAGTCAATATTTTTGGCAAATTTAATCACTATCTTTAGAAAATCCAGTCAATATTTTTAGCAAATTTAATCACAATCTTTAGCAAATTCAGTCAATATTTTTGGCAAATTTAATCACAATCTTTAGCAAATTCAGTCACTATCTTCAGCAAATTTAATCACAATCTTTAGCAAATTCAGTCAATATTTTTGGCAAATTTAATCACAATCTTTAGCAAATTCAGTCAATATTTTTGGCAAATTTAATCACAATCTTTAGCAAATTCAGTCAATATCTTCAGCAAATTTAATCACAATCTTTAGCAAATTCAGTCAATATCTTCAGCAAATTTAATCACTATCTTAAGCAAATTCTGTCACTGTCTTTGACAAATCCAGTAAATATCTTAAGCAAATGCAATGAAGTGCAAACAGTAATGTCATTTCTCAACAGCATATCAAAATTTCAGAATCACAAACACTATGCCATAATTGTATATATAGTCAGTCATTATGCTATCAATTTATTTTGCAGATTTTCTAGGGACTCCTGTTAAAGTTCAAACTCCTGTTAAGTCTGAACCTGGAATGTTGACACCAACATTAAAAACACCAACATATCAAACAGATAGAAATCAACTCTCACCACCTAATCCTACCTTACTTAAACTCGGATTCTCAACTTCTGATGCTCAGTGGTTGAACGGAGAGGTATGTTGTTCCTGGATTGTACTTGATTAAAAGCGTATTTGTTTCAACCTATTCGGATTTGATTATCTATCTATTAGGTTATGTCCTAATCAAATCAGATTTGAGAGTTGAAAACTGATTAGAAAATGGCCGCCGTCAGAAAAAGAGTTGGTGCTCCCGTTTAAGTCATTGAACTCACATGTTATCATCTTTTCCGCAAGCCGCCATCTTGCCTAATCAAAACCAAATCCGTCAAACCACCTTGCAAGTAGGCTTGGTCGCTTAGAATTAGAGTTAAAACAAAAATGTCGATTAGCATAATCTGATTTGATTTGGGTGTGAAACAAATACTTATTGGGCCTAATCAAATCCTATTGGGTGTATATAGTGTAGAGCTGAAATGGCTTTGGGTTCACAGACTAAGCTATTTTTCAAGATGGCTGGAGAAGAGTGCATATTAATCATTAAATAGTGGTTATAAAACAACCAGTGACTGTGGGTTCCAATCTCAGTCAGCATGTGAAAGTCTGGTGACATTGGATAAGTCATCTTTCATCATTATTTGATTTCGACACTGGGTACAGATAGTTCAGGAAAGATCAATGCCAAGTGTTTTGGCTAAGAACCTGTTGGTAGACAGGATTTGCATGAACATGTGTTGTTATCCTTGGCTAGTTTCAGTAAGGAACAAGGCACTTGTTTTTACTGGATATTTGCAAGATTTTCATACTGATTTTGTTTAGATATTTGGATTATAAGTCATTATATCGTGTTATATTTACAGTCTCAAGACATATCATTAAGTAGTTTTTTAACAGAAACCCCAACTAAAAAAACTACAGCAGTTCAGCCTAGTATTGTTCCACCACATAATATCTTCAGTGAACATTCTCAAGACTCTATTGTAAGTTATTTTTTAAAACCGCATTTTTAGGGGGGAAAACAGGCCCTGTATCCCGAAACGATGTTAGCGCTAGGATGTCCCAGAATCATTTTTAGAAGATAAAAGCCTAGGACATCCTAGCGCTAAGATCGTTTCAGGAATACAGGGCCTGATTAATATATTATAACAATAATAACATCAAAAAGAGCTTTACTAGCTATGTGGACTCTGCAAAAAGATACCGAGTTAATAAACTGTCAAGTCATTATGAAATGTGTCTAATACCTTGACATCATTAGTCACTTTTCTTGTATCACGAAGGAATTAAATGTAAGTGCAGCATCGCAGCAATTTGGTTAAATTACATCCAATCAGAACCCTCAACAGAGAGTCTGTAAATAATAAAACAGTATATCTATTTAGGTCTCTGATTGGCTGAATTCGCTAGCGTACAATCCAATCAAATTGCTGCATTCCTTGATTTGAGAATAGTGCTTGATAACGTCAAGGTATTAATTTCAGTTTCAGGATAGCATTAATGTAAACATACTTTGCCTTAAAAGGACAGGTGCGCCATTTTTTGACCAATCATACTTTAGTCTCAGAAAAGCCAGGCAGTAATAGAGTTCACACATTCAACGTGGAAATTGGAGCCTTCAAATCCATGTTTGTCCAGAATTATCCACGTTTGAAAGTTAAAGACAGATCAACCCCCCCAGAATTGCGCATCTGTCCCTTTAATATTAACAGCGTAACTGTTGTGAGATCTAGAAATAAATTAAATAACCCATTGCAAAAATATGCAACAAAATCAATTTTGTATACTTTCAGGTGGAAACATCATTTCAGTCCATGTTGAATGAAAGTTCCATGGATTTAGTCAGCAAATTTGCTAAACTAGCTGATCATATAGTAGGTCCACATGCAGATAAAACGTAGTGACATTTCTTGAAGAGTGAATTACACTGTATTTTAGTTTCCCCTCTCCAGCTATCTGTCATATATAGACCAGGCTGTTGATTTATCCGTTTTGCCAGTCATATCTGATTGGAACTTCATATGACTGACTGTAATTCAGATCTTTAGGATATTTTCTTTGCAAAATTTGTAGAATCTTGATTACGTACAAAAATTGTCCGGTAGGGAAATTCTAAAATTAACAGCCCTGATCCAGACCTAAAAGACTAACTGTGCAGGCCTAAAGTTGAAGATTATTACAGTGAGTGATCATCATCTAGATATTACATTCTGAAAATGCCATGTGAACTCATAAAAGGTTGCAGAGTGGCACCAGGTATTTTGGAGCAAGCATACTCAATAGCACCAGCAACAAAGTGAAGCTCCAAATCACAATTTTATATGTACAGTACATCTATTATCAAGAGCCCCTTGGGTCAAATGCTTTCAAAGTGAAATGGGTAATACAGGTGTGGTGTGTTTTTGCTTCCTAAACTACAGGAGCATTGTTAAAGTTATACTAGCTAATAAAAGACATGATGGTACTATAGTAGTGTGTTCCAGATATCCTAATAGTCCAAAGTTTCATTGAAGTGAATGTGTGAGTGTAATTTGTGTGTTTCACAGGTGTTGAATTTTTAGAGTGCAACATTAAGACAAGACTTTTGTTTATCATTTTGGCTGTGTTTTTGTATGTGCTGAACACTAATAGATGTTGATGTCTGAGCACCAAACAGAGGTTTGTGTGTGAAAGCTTAGTTTGGATGGGAACTCCCATTGGTACTGTGTTGGATCTGACATTGGTACTATGTTGGGTCTGACATTTGTACTGTTGGATCTGACATTTGGTGCTATGTTGGGATCTGACATTTGGTGCTATGTTGGGTCTGACATTTGTACTGTTGGATCTGACATTTGGTACTATGTTGGGATCTGACATAATTGGTACTGTTGAATTTTACATTGGTACTGTTTAGAATTAATATTGATACGATGTTGGATCTGACATTTGTACTGTTGGATCTGACATTGGTACTGGTTCTGTGTTGGATCTGACATTGGTACTATGTTGGATCTGACATTAGTAACTTACTGGGTTAGATCTGACATTGGTGAAAAAAAGAAGGGCCACTTCTAGAAACTGTTATTGAAACCTTGTTTGGATTAAATCTAGTTAGTACTATAAAAGGCTCAGATATAGATTGGATCTGACATTGGTGTATGTAGTAATCCCATATTGGATTGGATTTGACAATGGTTCTATTCAAGCAGAGCTAGGATAAGATCTGACATTGATGTGTGATTGTACTTTTGATTAGCTCTGACATTGGTACCATGTTAGAAATAACATTTGTTTGCCTAGGTTGGATTAAATCTGACATTGGTAGGCCGTAAGCCTTGTTTGGATTGAATCCGACATTTGTGCCCGGTTACCAGAGTTAGAAATGAGACAGTAATTGCATTTGGAATTGATACTTTGCAAGCGAGGTTTAGATTGGATCTGACATTGGTATTGTGTAGGAGCTGACATTGGTGGAAGCTATGTTTTGATTGGATCTGACATTGGTATCATGTAGGAGCTGACATGGGTGGAAGCTCTGTTTGGATTGGATCTGACATTGGTATCATGTAGGAGCTGACATTGGTGTAAGCTATGTTTGGATTGGATCTGACATTGGTATCATGTAGGAACTGACATTGGTGGAAGCTCTGTTTGGATTGGATCCGACATTGGTATCATGTAGGAGCTGACATTGGTGGAAGCTATGTTTGGATTGGATCTGACATTGGTATCATGTAGGAGCTGACATGGATGGAAGCTATGTTTGGATTGGATCTGACATTGGTATCATGTAGGAGCTGACATTGGTGGAAGCTATGTTTGGATTGGATCTGACATTGGTATCATGTAGGAGCTGACATTGGTGGAAGCTATGTTTGGATTGGATCTGACATTGGTATCATGCAGGAGCTGACATTGGTGGAAGCTATGTTTGGATTGGATCCGACATTGGTATCATGTAGGAGCTGACATTGGTGGAAGCTATGTTTGGATTGGATCTGACATTGGTATCATGTAGGAGCTGACATGGGTGGAAGCTATGTTTGGATTGGATCTGACATTGGTATCATGTAGGAGCTGACATTGGTGGAAGCTAAGTTTGGATGTCATCTGACATTGGTTTGTGTGAGCCTAGTTTGGATTGGATCTGACATTGGTATCATGTGGGAGCTGACATGGGTGGAACCTATGTTTGGATGTCATCTGGCATTGGTTTGTGTGAACTTAGTTTGGATTGGATCTGACATTGGTATTATTTTGGAAAATGGCATTGGTGTATGTAAGCGTGGCCCTCATCAAATAAACTTTCTTACCACACCATGAAACTTTAGGTTAGATGTGTGCTTGAAATTATCCATTGCTATATCTGATGACATTTTGCCTAGCATCCATCTGTCATTGTTCACCACTGTTAAACTGTATTATATTGTGACATATTAATTTATTATAAATATATATAATCAAATTTTATTAGAAAAACACATAATTATAGATTATTTAAAATGCAGATAATAAATGATGTGTGTTTCGACTGGTAGCAAATGTGTCAGCATATAGTACAATTTTTATAGTTTTTTTTTAATTCTGTTGCTTAGAAAGGTCTGTCAGAAAGATCACAATTTGAAATGCAGATAATAAATTTTGAGGATTCGAAAATGGTAGAAAATGGAAGAGCACAATTTTTTATAGGTCTTAATTTCTTTTAATTTTTAGGGGAAATAAGAATCAAATTTTTGTTGGCTTTTTGTCATAAAGATCACAATTTGAAATGCAGACAATAAATTTTGTTTCAACTTGAAGCAAATATATCAGCTGAAAAGCACAATTTTTATATATTTTTTTTTTAAATTTTGTTGCAAATAAATTAATCTCATTCATTGACTATTTGTCTAAAATATCATAATTTTACACTGTTTTGATTATTCTGATTGGTCTATTTTATTAAGGATTGTAAGAGGTTTTCTTGAATTGTTATGTGTATCGGGAACACTGATAGAATCAATTTGTACCATTCTAATTTTGATCAGATATGTGGTCTCTGCAATTCCACTAAAACTAAGTGTTTTATGATGTCACTAATCGCTTATGTGATAAAGCATATTACATGATTAGTGAAGTCATCAAACACTTAGTTTTAGTGGAATTGCAGAGACCACATATCTGATAAAATGGAAATAGTGCAAATAGATGCTATCAGTTTCCCTGATACACATAAAAAATATAGAAAACCTCTTAACAATCTTATTTAAGTAATGATTTTGAACCAATCAAATTTCTCATAATGTGAAGTTGTGACATCTTGGACGTTAGTCTTGATCTCTTATAATATTTGTATTTTATTTTCCTTATTTACTACAGTATTAAAAACAACACAATAAGAGAAAAAATTATATATTTTCTAGATTTCTAGATTTTTCCTTTTATAATTGTATTATTAAAAGGGATAGTAAAGAGGTTTTCTAAAATTTGTATGTATATCGGGGATCGATTTGCACCATTCCAAGTTTCAAACAGAAGTCTATGGTTCCTGCAAATTTCACAGTGGGCAGTTTATGATATCACTAACACTATATAGTTCTTATACATCATTAGCAGCTTTTGCAATTATGACATAATAAAACACTAAGTTTTAGTGGAATTGCAAGAACCACAGACTTCTGATCTAAAATCGCAACCCAGTTTCACCCTTGTCAGTGATGCAGATGAGAGGGGCTGACATGGAAAAAGTGTTTAGTCGTTCGAATGGGACAATAAATCGAAGCCCCGTGTGCTACAGGCTGTGCACGTTAAAGATCCCTCGACAGTTGGAAATAGAAATGAAGCAGGCTAATGCCGCTGTCCTTGCAAAATTTCCCTCATGGCACCCTGCATGGCGTTGCCCGTCTTCATTAGCCCACATGGTGCAGAAAAGTAAAACTCATTCAACTTCATTTCATTTTTAAATTGGAATGGTACAAATTGATTCTATCATTGTCACCGATACACATGAAAAATTTAGAAAACCTCTTTACAATCCTTCTAATTTGTGAAAATGATCAAACCTATTTGATTCAGATTTTTTTTGCTCAAATTAAATATGACTTGCCAAAACTGAGATTAGTAACAAAATTTAGGTGTATCTGTGTTGGACTTTTCTTTGACTTTAAACAAACAATTTGATCCTTAGGTCAATTAAAGGGACAGGTAGGCCATTTTTTTAGCTAAGACAATCAGTGTTCATAAATCACTGTCAAAATTTGACCCCCCCCCCAAAAAAATGGCGCATCTGTCCCTTTTAGGAGCCCTCATACCATAGTAATTACCAGATGCGTATGGTTGCATTAATGAAAGTGGCCATGAGTTCGGAACGCAACTCTCAACTCAGTTGCATGAGAGTTGGGTTCAAAACGTATGATAGCTATGCTAATTCACAACCATACACAACTGGTGATCGCTACAATGATGGAGACAAACCTGTTTCATAATAGTCTCATATCCAAGTTGAAAGTGAAGCTGGCAAATTTGCAGAATACATTATTTATTCATTCATTCATACAAATGATTGTTGATTAGGATCAACTTATTGAAAACTTTTGGAAATATTTTCCCATGTTATGTTTCTGGTGAATCATTTGCAATCGATTAATTTTTTTTTATATTATGCACGGTGACTTATCAATTTTGTGTTTGAATATAATTTTCAGCTTAAATTTGACTGCTTACTTAACTGTCTGGGTTTTTTTTTTGTTTTGTTTGAATTAAATTTTTGATAAACTGGCATATTTTTTTCCACTTTCTATGTATGGTTGGAATTTCCATTTCAGTTTAAAGGGATTGTAAAGATGTTTTCTAAAATCTTTATATGTTCCAGCAATTCCACTAAAAATAAGTGTTTTATGGTGCCACCATTACAATGTGCCTTATATGATTTAAGTAACAT